ATGAGAAAATATCAGAAATATATAATACAGAACACTTGACAATCGATGGCCCAAACACAAAGAATCGCTATCGCTTAAAGAAATCTTATCCATTTGTTTTCTCACTCGCACTCGCATTCACGACCGAGAGACCCCAAGATAACGCACACTAGCTCGCTCGCGTGTAAAGACCAACGAAGAGGCGTGGCTTGCCCCCTCTTTTACAATTACCTTTCGCTTTCATTTTCTCGCTTATTTTTGCAAATACGAAGATACACCTTAGAACATTTTTTATGTATTTTTCAATTATCTACAACTTTTGTTTGAAACTTTTTTCGATTAAATGCCTAGATTCTAAGATACGGCCATTTTTTACCCTTTTTCTCGTAAACGCAACATCGTATTGCAAAAAAATTAGCATCATTCTATTCAGCGACGTCAAATTACCATTGTATCATATTTCAAGGGCCACTTGAACGTCATTCAATTGACTGGACTATAGATAAGGAATTCTGGATGAATAAACTCTTTCCTTTCACCTTGGTATGCACAGCAATTTATTTTCTTGATTTGATAAAGAATAGTTTACCTTGTAATAAATTGAATTAGTGACGCGTTTTGCTGAACTACGTGATATACAGTGAATCGCAGGAATATACGTACCATTAATGTAAATTTTAAACAATTGATATTTTGTGAGATCAATTTTGTTATCATTTATGTAAAATTATATTTTTCTAGGAATAAAATGTTTTTCTGTAATAAAATTTATATAGATTTGAAAGTTGAATAATCCTAGAATAGATTTCTGTGGATAGGAATATTATAAGTTTGTATTACAAATAGTTACCATTATTATTAAAATTGGTATTAATAATAACTGGGATCTGAATTCCAATCCAAAAGGAATTGAGCAAGAAATTGCTCGATTAAAAAAATTAGAAATCGATTGCTTTCTACTCTTTTTCCTGAAAAATAATTTTTAAATTCTAATAATTCTCGCACCGACTTTTTATTTACAAGATGATTCTACGATCTATAATTTTAAGAATTTTAGAATGTATTAATTGTCTAATCAGTGATGATTCTATTGGAAAGGATTGTAAATCCTTGTAAAGGAGAGTTGATACTTGTAATTCGGATAGACATTGAATGATAATTTGGCACGATGTTTTTAATGATACTTCCGATCCGTCCTTCGTTAGTCTTGTACTAATAATTCTTAAAGCTTATTTTGCTATTTATTAAATATTTATTCTGCTTTTATAAAGCATAATTTTTAATAAAATCTGTTAAGTAAGTTCATCAATTTTATCGAAGCAGCCGTACTTCGTCATTTTTCTACTTGTAAGTATTCTCTATTTTTGAAAACCTAGTTTAATCTTCTAGATGAATAGCGAATACTATGGATGAGCCTTCGTTTGGAAGGTCATAAAACTAAGGAAAATATATATTTTTTTGTCTCCAAGTTTACGGTTTGTTCATGGTTTACAGTTCCGACTATGTAAATATTGTCGGAAATATTCCAAACCGACAGTATTTTTTCAGTTCCTTCATCTAATGAAAATTTTTGTTCTAGCATATAGAAAGTTTGGAATTTGTTTTGTATATAATTTACAACATTTCTAATCTCAAATAATTTATCCGACTTATCGCGCATTAAATTATTATTGAAAAAATGCCACATTTGCCATATTTGTATAAATTGGTTATTTATCTGTTATTTATGTTATTAATGTTTTATATTCACTATTAAAAATAATTACTATACTTTTCATTTCATATTTTGTATAAATTATAACGTTACTACCAATTGTGTTTTATCTTTTAAAATTATTTTTATACGTCCTTTGTCATTCAATTAATGAATATTAATTTATTTTACTGGCAAAAAATGCGTAGTGGACAGCGTACGATCTAGTGTGACGTGTTCAGTTGGCTAAGTATTAAGGTAATTTGAAAAGTTCACGGTTTTATTCATAAATGGTGATAACGTATAAATTTCATTCTTAAGTCGAAACAGATCTTAAACTGAAAGAAAAAAAGCGTGAATTTCTTCAAATTGTCTATTACAACTGTAAGTGTATCAAGTCAATAGTAAACTGACTCTTTTGTTCAAGCTTCTTAATTAGAATATACTTAAACTTCACATTCTTATAGTAGTAATTAGAGAAAAGTCACGTTTGGTACACGTTGTGAATTCAGTGCCAAAATATTCAAGGGTTCCGATTGGGAAGATAGATATATACCTATTAGATTTCTAGGTATACGTAAGCACTATGTAAGTTGTAAACCAGAAAGGCTACGTATATACGTTCCTTGGCGGCGTCTGCCAATAATAAATGTAGTTACCGTCTCAAGTGGAATTTATAACGTTAATGCTGCCAAAGAAGGTACTTTATGTTTCTATATCGCTGTATGTATTCATAAAGCTTTTTCAACTTTACCAGAAAATGGTACAACGTTTAAGATTACATTTTATTTTATCTTATATATAACTATATGAAACGGTATAAATCGTATATCTACTTTATATGATTGTTAATCAATTTTTTATTGATTATTTATTTCTTCTTATTTCAGTTGTATGCGGAGTCGGAGTGGATGTGGCGTATCGTCGACATAATATGGGGCTTTACGTTACGTGAGGATAATTCAACATGCGTATACCGTAATTCAATTCACGCATTATCCAGATTCAGAAAAAGAAATATTAAAAAGCTAGACTAGAAACTCAATTGGATGATTCAATTTTGTCTGTATGTTTATTGTCCATTTTTAAATTTTGTCTTCTTATCTACGTAACGAGAGAAAAAAATAATGATAAACAAGTAGAAAATAGGAAAAAACGTAAAACGAACGATGATTTCCAGAGAAGACCAGAGGAAACGTAATGTTATCTTTCTATGCGCAATTTAATTTCAGAGAAAATTTAATTATTACTAGAAGGAAATGGAGGACGAATGAAGTCAAAGAAGGAATGAAATTACCATTTCAATAATGTTTAGACGATTTGAGAAATGACTCAATAAGATAAATTTTCTATTCCTATATATACTGCATATGATAAGTTTGTAATAACTATATACCTTCAATATCATTCAATATCGAAAAGAGTTTTTATTTTTTTGTTATTTATAATGTATCGTATCTATGAGAAAAAATACAAAATATTTTTACAAACGTTAGATGAGATTTTATTCTTCGAAGGAAAATAACTTTAACGTTTATATCAATTTATTATTCTTTATGCATTATACTTCCTAGTCTGATATGAGTACAAAAATAAAAGAATTGAGAATAATATTTGATCTCTTCTACGATATAACGTGAGTTTGTGTAGTAATAAATGTATACTTTAATTGTTAATGCTATGAAAATTAAGATTACTTTATTTTGAAATTCGTGGTATTATAGTACAGAGAAATAGAAGAGTAAATATTTTATGTTATTTCGAAATTATTTTTTGTTTTGTACAGAAAACGACTGTTTTATGTAATTGTAAAGCAATTAACAAAGAACGCCAGTCATTTCGTTTTAATTATTATTTATTTTTGTTCAAAATATCATTTAACCGTTTTTAAAAATGTGTCGGAGAAGGCCATGTTTCGTGCGTTTATCTATTACCATGGCCGCGTTTCGTTCATTTATCTACGCGCCAAAAGAAGTATAACTTTAAAAATATATCTAAATTTATCATTTTTAAATGATCTTATACTATCTATTTATTTCGTTGTATTGTTTCTTGTTTTATAATTAAATTCGTTATCATATTCCCTATCAGTCAATTATTTTACTAATCATATGCTCTGTTTTTAATTATATCTTCATACAGCTTTGTTTCTTTCTGTGTAAATTCATTACTTGGCAATAAAAGAAGATATTTTTTTAATTGCTGTCTTTTTCTTTGAATACATCATTTTATTTAAGTTTACGTCGTTCGTTAACAAAAATTCTTTTATTTCAATGCTATTTAACCATAAACGAAATACACATAATATCTGCATCCACCTGCTGCTATTTAGTTTACGAAAATCAACAAAATTACAATTATTTCATTTCTAATTCTATTTCAGAATTTCATCTATGATGATCTTTTTTCTCGAGATAACCTGGGCCATCACTTTATTTGTACAAATTTGTGTCAGGTACGTTCATTATGTAAAATAAATTGTCTATTATCTCTCTTGCTTGCATGCTAATGAACGTTCAAGGTACAAGAAAAAAACAGATCATTCACATGTAACTTGTTGAATTTTCTTTTGCATTTAAATGTTCGAATCATATTAAGATTCGCGATTTTCTTATTAAACAGATCAGGATTCTTATGAATAATTTTTCAGCAAAGAATATCTATTTTTATTCAATATATCAAAATATTAATCATACTGTGATGACCAGTTTTCACATAATCCTTTAAGAATACGTGACGAATTTGAAGTATTATTCAGAATTTGCAATTAAAGATCCTAGTTACATGAAAAATCAGTTTATTGAAAAGTACAAATTTTCTAAGAATCTAGAAAGAAAGTTATGAGAGAAAGAGAATGGCGGAAGAAGCACTTTCAAAGGCTTCAAAATGAGGTAAGGAAGGATAAAAAAACGAATTTTAAGTTCAATGTGACTCATTCGATATTTTGATCGTTTGTAAGTACTTATCTTATAATAATTATATAAAGAACCGTTAGCCACATCAATGTATAATAGCATAAGATAAAAAAAGATTAGAATATGACAGTAAGACAACATAATTCGTCAAATAGAAAGATCGAGCATTATTGTCTAATATACAAAAACAGAAAAGAAAATAAAACAATAAAAAAGTATGAAAAACCATTAAGTTTATTTTCATACAACTCACAAATGCAAGAGAGCTTAGGGATTGGTTCATCCTTTTTTCTCGTTTTAAATTGTTCGTTCTCATAATTAGGTGTATAGGAATCAGAAGTAGATTCACGGAAAGTTACGTGGCACTCGAGGCTCCGGGAAAAAAACGCAATTCACGTTAATTAATATTATTGTGAATAACCTTGGAGATAGCTGCCCTCGGACTACAGTGGCCGAGGGCTGAAGAGTAAATTGAAGAGATTCATTAAAGCATAGTTTAGTTTTTCTGTAGAAAAAGAGTCAGCAAAGTAAGCTAGCAATTACTACGTTGAAAAGTTTAGCCCAGTTTTCGTTGTATTACCAAAGTAAGTTCGGATAGATGAAAAAAGAGAGAAAAAGGGTACGCAATGATAGAACGATGCTAATTCGGAATCCGCAAGTTCACCAAATTCATCTCATTGTCAGCGAAGAAAAAGATTTGGGTGGTGTATAAACGTGTGTACGTCCAAGAGTACGCCCTCCCGCTCGACTTTAGTTAACGTTTATATGTGTGTCTGTTGGTAAAAAAAGAAGTTGAAAGGGAAACAAGGGCGGCTTTTTATTGACCGACTTAGTCCCATCTATCTCGATCCGACACGTCGCATTTTGGAAGTTTACACCCTTGTCGTAGCCATTTAAAACGCTTTGGTACGATCACTTGATATCCCATTTAGAACTAAAGTAGTTATGAATAATAGGAAAAACATGTTGACTAACATAAAAGACGTAATAAGTCCTTGGTATTCCTAATCTTTATATTCTTTAGCTTTTTAGTTGTATCATTTTTTTTATCGCTTCGCATGAAAACAATACGATATTTCTTGTATTTTTCTTGTTTATTTTTTTGCGCAATAATCATAAGTCAAGTAGAATATATGTTCGTTTAATTGATTACAAAATTAAAAAGATTCTCGTTGACCAAAATTTTTATCAGACACAACTTTTTTTTAGTTTTATATTCATTTTATATATATCGAATCGATAAAAGACGATAGAAGTGGAGAAAAAAAGGAAAATAGGATTCCATTGCTCTTATCTGGCTCTTGTCTAACATAGCTGCAATTTGTAGAATTGCTCTTTAGTACAGTCCATCGTAGATGTGATTTAATTCAAGTACGATGGATTGAATAAAGTGATCCTTTTTCTACGTTAAAACTACTGAAGCATAATCCGAGTGATCGAATGGCCCCACTCGACAAAAGAGCACATATTTTCAACATAATTCACTCGTTAAAATTAATATTTACTTTTTGTTTTCTTTTTTTAGTAAACATTTAGCAAAATACGATTTCCGTTGTTGCTCTATCGATTCGTTAAAAAAAAGAAGGAAGGTTAAAAAGTTGGACAGCATGTTAAATAAAGAAGTAAGCGGAAGAGATAAAATCGCTACTTTTGCTTTTTAGAAATGAGGAGGCTCTTTGTTCGTATTGCTGGTCGCGCGTACTCGCGATAACGAGGGGTTGGCGAAGAACATTATTTTATCTACCACTCTCCTGCATTTTGGCGTGGAAACCGCACAAACTCGAGCTTTCCTATGTCGCGGGTAAGTTAACAAATGGAATGCTTAAATGCGACATGCGTGTAAGTTTATGAGATCTATTTTCCGGCCTTCCCTTAATAAATAATGATGCGCGAATGCTGTGAATAAATATCAAAACCAAGCGCAAACCTTACCAACTGAATCTTTTCGTTGCTTTACGAAGAATTAGCAATCCTTTGTAACAGGAAATATTATTTACTTGTTCAATGTTAATGATTAAAAGCATGAAAAAAAAGAATAAAATAAAGAAAATGAACTTCGTTTTATCGAAGTTTCCATAAGAAAAGTGAATAATCTAATAGAAAAGTTTTCAAAAGCACAAGCCGCGATTAAAATCTAATTGTAAGTTTTCGCGTCCTCGTTGATTCTTACTTCGGACTGAATTTCTTTCTTTCATTTGACTCGAATGAAAAATAAATATACAAGAAAATAGAAGGAAGGAAAAAATGTAACTAAGAAATGAGAAAGAAAGTTTTGCGAAGAATTCTATAATTACAATATATATACGTATACGTATATACCGATGATTAAAATACGTTTAAATTTCCTTTGTAAATGACACGATTTAACAAACCATGTATAAAATATGATTAGGTGTTTTTGGTGATATTACGAAGAATGAATGAACCATTTCTCTGAATAAACTTTATTTTTCAACTTTAGAGCACAGAAACTATCATATTTAAGAACTTCATTAACGATTCATTTTATAAACGAGAGTTGACAATATTCTACTTACAATTAGTTGTTTGTAAGTACACATAAAAATGAATATGGAAATGACGATAGAAACTTTGTGAAAAAGGATATTTATTCAAATTTATTCGAGATAAATATATATTTTTGGATTATCTCCTAATGTTAAGCATTGTGCTGCTTCACTAAATAATTATAGATACTGTTACCCAAACTAATTATTTATTTTTATTTTCAGCTGGCTTGTTAGCAGTTTTATCCTTTTTACATATTGCTTCAAGCATTTTAGAAAGACGTATAGCTTTTCAATCAAACTCTGGTACAGATTCTGTTGGTGAAAGTCTTTTAAATGCAAGGGCCGAAAATTATGATCGCTTCGAAGAAGTTTTGGTAAGCAGATTTGAAAGATAAACAAATAAAAAAAATATCTAGGAAACAAAATTGAAGGAAATTAAATAAGTTTCGAATATATATATTATTGAAAATGATACTAAAACAGAGCGAGGGTCGACTAAAATTTGTATTTATTGTTAACATTATATAAATATACATGTTAAAATGTATAATTCAGTCAAATCGTGAAATTTAAGAAAAGTGCGTTTTAGGGAAAGCATATAAAAAGAATTTTATTATACACTAAAACTAGTAGTTTTAAGAAATAACAAAGTTATGTATGAATTCACAAGAGGTAAATAGTTAAAGTATGAAATCAAAATTTAATTCATCTTTAAAGTATGCTAGTCTTTCTACAACAATGATTGTAGTTATCTGTTCTTAATATTTCCTTTACTTTGAAAATAAATGTGTTATTAGTCATGGTGTTCTATCGGATCTAATCTACGAATAAAATATTAATTTTGTTCTGTTACTATTCGCCTCTTCATGAATTCAAATATTATCTAGTTAAGTATGCAATTCTGCCTTATTTCATGTTTTAATCAGCCGATACAATTATTTCATGAATTAATGGATTTCACGCTTTACTGGTAACAAATATATCATATATAATAATTTAGTAGAAATTATTTACTAAAAAAATTTTTCTGATATAGGTACCAGAAGTATTGGATGACGGTGTATCTGGGCCAACAATACGAATTGGTGACAGCGACGGGGAAATATGACACGAACATCAAACCTCTTGGGTCAGTGACTCCGATGAGGATAGTGAACCTGAACCAAAGATGTGTCAAATAGCTACAGTGTCTTAACTATAAAGTTGTCACAGAAACAGAATAAGATTCTAATTGAAAAATACATTTCTTGATATATTTCGAAATAAAATAAACGAGAGAAAGAGATTAGATATTCTACGTTTTAAAATGAAATTTTTCGGGACATTTTTCGAGAATCATTTTAACAGATCGAAGTCAATAATTGTGTGTCCTAAGAAAAAATTGTATATGTAATGGGAAATAATATAATTAAAAGGTGATATGTTAGGAAAGACTGAGTTATCATGCGTTATAAAAATATATAAACCCTTATAACAACAATCAAATTTGACACACGAAATAGGAAATAGAAAACGAGCACTATCAATGAATAAATAGATTTTAAATAGTCCAACTCATTATGTTTTCTTATAACACTTTTTTTTATCCATTGCGATAAAGTTTAAGAAACAAAATAGAATATATATATAGAATAAATTTTAAATCATATTTAAAAAAAGAATTGTTTAACGCGATATGTGGATTATAAGTTAAATTAATCGTTCGTTAAAAAGAAATTGTACAAATTAAAGCATACGAAGGATAAACATTTGAGTAACAAGTGTTTTTATTAGTTGATATAGAAGTGTATTTCTTACTTATGAAGTCTTTTTTACACAATTTTATAATATAATGAATTCATTTATAATGAATAGAAAAATGCAATGTATTATCACATAATGTACAAAAAATTTATTAACATAGGTGCTGATTCATGAACGTTATGTATTATAGAATATATTATTAAATGCTCGTATACTGGGTGTAATCAAAAGTACGCGGCATAATTTCAGGAATGTAAGTTATATCGAATACATGATATAATCTAAAAAATTATAACATATTTGAACCTGATACAACTAGTGTTTTGTATTTAATTTTAGTCAATAAAATAAACATAATTGTTACACACCAAGATCGTTTATATACTTGAAAATTATAATTTAGAAATTAAGCATTTCTAAACTCACATTAATATAATAATGTTTCTTCCTATATGTGAAGAATTTATTTCTGAAGTTTCGCCGCGTATTTTAAGACTAATTAACGTAAGGCTCTGTGACACAGCCCTGTATTTATTACCATAACATTGATAATAAAACTTGAAAATATATAATTGGTTGTCAACTTATTAAAGGCGCGATAATAATATTATAACTATTATATCGCATATTTTATACATGTGTAAAAGTAATACAAATATATAAAGTCATTCAATATCGAAAATATTTATAATATTATATAAACTTGGTTTACGATAAAATGTCAAAATAATCAATAAGTATAAGATAAAAATGTACTTTATTTTTATTAAGATGAATTGGTAAGTTCTACAACAGATCTCTACATACGTATCTCTTTTAATATATAAGTAATTACTATTAATTTTTAATGCAGAAAATATTATCGATTTTTTTCAATACTGTTATATAATATAATACTGGATATACTACGAAATTATTATTCATTCCTAAATTCTACATATAACTAAATCAATTGCAACACAGAATAACACCAAATTTAAATTTAATCATGTTTTATTAATGCCATATTTTTCTAAAATATTTAATAATTCCAATATTGATGTAAAAATTCACGTTAAAGTTATATTATTATAGGCCAGATGTATACAAAAAAAATTAAAATGGTAACTTTTATATAATTAAAACTAAAATATAATTTTATATAAAAATAATTTAGTGTAATTAAGTTTCTTGAGGTCTCCAATTTTTAATTTCATCTAAAATTTTGATCAATAGTGGATTTCCTCCAAGTCGTTCTATTTCATCTCTAGCTTTTTTATCTAGAGTTTCGAGAACATGCCTTGTATAGGCAAATGATCCAAATTTCTCTAATAAATTTACACAATAACGTTTAACTTCAATGTTTTTAGTCCGTTGCCTTAAAATATCTATATTAAAAAATATTAAGGAATAATAACTTGCAAAAAGAAAAAAAATATTAAATTATTGTAGAGTTTGTGTGTGAAAAAAATAAGTCCCTAGATTGACTGAACTGAGAATTCGAACCCAGATTTTCCACTTTCCGGGTGACTGCTCTATCTATTGAGTTATTCAAGACTTTCAGTCAACTTTTTCACGAATACCTATTTTATTTGAGATAGAGTTACTCGATTTCACATTACTTAATTATATGTCAATTTTTAAAGGATACTCATTATCTGATTATCTTCAGGATGATGTCTTATTGCATGAATAACCGGAAAACTAAATTTTCCTTCAGATAAATCTTCGCAATAACTTTTGTTTTCTATATACTAAAAAAGAAAAATTGTTTAAATTAATATTTTAAAATATTTACATTTAAAAACCAATCTAATGCAAAACATTAGCTCCTATTACAAACTTACTTCTTGACTACACAAATTACAGTAGTCATCTCGTATTTGAAAGTAAAGGCCTATAATTCCTGCTAATTGTGAAAAATTCTCGTTGCAAGTAGAAAATAGTTGCATCAATCTCACCGCCAAATTGAAAAGTCCGCCAGTTTCTATTATTTATTTAAAAATAGATTGGATAAGATTGAAAGAAAACAAAATATGGCTGTATATATATATACTTTTTAAAAACTATCTCACTTTTAATAGTCATATGCTCGTATTCATCTTCAGTTGGACAAATATAATTATCCCTCCAATATATTTCCATTCCCTGACCTCTATGAAGCTCTAAAATTTGCTCCGTGAATATTTGCGTTGCCTAATAAAATAATTGATGTTCGTTAATGTATTGGGTTGGCAACTAAAAGATTGCGGATTTTGTCAATAGATTATTATTAAAATAATCGCATTCACTTAGTTGCCAACTCAATAATATCAAATTTATTGTACAAGTAAGCAAAAAACACATTACAAAATTTATCAATACTACCACTTACTTCTGGATGATTTAAGGCAAGAATCTTCTCTAAAGAAATAAATAAAACGTAATTTGCAGCATTTATGGTACTAGGCACACCAAAAATGGAATGTGCTACTGGAATTCCTCTTCTTAAAATAGAATTATCTTGAATATCATCTAGTCTACAATGAGTAATATTAAATAGTTTAACATCATAGATACCTCTGTAAATAATTATATGTATACGTATATACAATTTAAAAAAATATATTATTTTTTATGAGTTTATTCAATTTATTTAAAGACCTGTAAATATTTTATTAATAAAAATATAGTTACTATGCATATAATTATTTACATTTTATGAAAACAAAAAGAAATTACATATAAATTTATAAAAATAAAATAGTAAAAATATAAAAAGATAGAATTTTTGTCAACTTACAAGAGACTAGAATTATGGAGCATTTGTGTAATATTTCCAACAGCTTGGAGTTTATTATCCGGTATTTTTAACCAATAATTAAAAGCATGTGCTAATTTAGTTCGTATTTTTTTTCCAGGAATTTGAAGAATATAATTAAATGGCTGCAACAATATCTATAAAAAGAAATATATCATTAAATATGATAATTTTTATAATAAATCTTTATCTCTATGTACTATTTAAAATAAATAAATATTATAGTTTTATATATCGCAATTATTACAATTATGATAATTTCAATCTACAGTGAAAGAAATAACGCCCGTTTAGCTTCTACGTTAATATAATAATTTAAAACAAATTCAAGAGATAAATTATTACATTTAATACATTATTTAAAAATATTTTAATTTATAAATTTACACGCGGAAAACATATAACAAGTACTTACTTCGTCTTGCTTCTTATCACCTTTTAATGAATAAGGAGTACCATTGGTATCAACTTCCATGATTTTTATAATTTAAATGCGCAAATCATTTAAGATTCTTTTACTTGTTATTAAATATTAAAAAGAGAATTTTTAATTAACATTTATAAACTTAAAATTCAACAAGTAATTCTTCCGCACAGAAGATTTACTTTTATATTTTATTGATTTCTTTCCTTTTGTTTACTACTGCCGCTGTTAAGAACCAGCAACAACTAACCCTGGTTTCCTAACTACTGGTGAATAAATTTAATATTTTCATTAATCCTGCAACCCCCTTATATAGTCTTGCATGAACTAATTTTTTGTTGAGTTGACTCTAAATAGTACAATTGCCACTAATACCATCTATTGATTAAAAGGACACATTACATTACTTGGAAGTTGAGAAACCGGAAACGTGAGTCCAATATAGGACATTTAAATGTCCCTATATTTTCTGTGTACATGCACAATCTATTAACTTTGCTACAAAATGCATCGTTCGTATAAATGTAATGTTTTTTGAATATGCTTGTTACCATCCATGTTGCTCTGTTTCATTGTTTAATATAGTAGATATTCTACATTTACCGTTAAGTTGGTAAATGTTTATATTTCTAGTCATACTCTATAAAACACATTAAGTTTACGTGATGTACGATTAGATATTTTTAATTAACATTATTTATAGAATTAAACGTTTTTACAGTATTAGAAGCAAAATGAGTACTGGAAAAAGTAATGGTGAAACTGGAAATAGATTGGAGGATCTTAATGTACCTGGGCAAGTCTATTTAAGAGATGCTTTAACAAGTTGTACAGATCCCTTAAAAGCCATAGAACAATTTCAAGTATGTTAAATTAACACCTATTTTGTGCAACTTTAGATTTCATTATTACATATATATTATTCCTTAATGAAAAAAAGATGACGATTTTAATGCAATTCATTTAATATCAAAGCACCGAATTTATTGTTATTCTTAATGTATATTTACGTATATATTTATTTTTGTAATACAGGTAGAAAATGGTATCCTTTTACCTTCGTTGCGACCTATGCTACCTTTACTTGATTTGCATGGAGTTAGACGACTAGATTTTCATGCTTCCGTATTAGAAGAATTAAGAGAGAAACTAGTAAAACGAATAAATGAAATAGGTGCTGAAAGAGCCGACAAAGGATCTACTGTTGGTGATAAAAGACTAAAGGAATTACTTTCTAAAAGCTTTACTGCTGTACGAGTTGCACCATTAAGGCCAGTTGTAATGTGTATATTAAGAAATACTCCATATATCGAAGACAAATATTTACGCACATTAGTTAGAGAAAAGGAATTATATAACGATGCTGATACAGAGGTAAAACGACAGATTTGGAAAGACAATCAAAGTCTTTTCGGAGATGAAGTATCTCCATTGTTCAGTAAATACATAATGGAAAAAGAAAAAATTCTTTTCGATCATAACAACTTGAATAGTCTTTTCTTCAGTCCATCTCCTAAAGTAATTTACACAATAATTATATAATTCGAACTATTTCATTATGTAAAACAATTAATTCACGATAAATTTATATCCATAGGTACGAAGACAAGGAGAAGTTGTTCAAAAATTAGCTCATATGATTGGACATAGTGTAAAATTGTATGATATGGTATTGCAATTTTTACGTACCTTATTTTTACGTACAAAAAACATACACTATTGTACTCTTAGAGCTGAGTTATTAATGGCCTTGCATGATTTAGAGGTAAGACAATAAGATTTTGAATAAAATAAATTTTCGGTTAATATGTCATTTCAAATTTTAAATTAACATGTTTTTTTAGGTACAAGATATCATTTCGGTTGATCCTTGTCATAAGTTCACCTGGTGTTTAGATGCATGTATTAGGGAGAAAAATGTTGATGTTAAAAGGTCTCGTGAATTACAAGGATTTTTAGATAGTATCAAGGTTTGTTAAGCATAGTAATACTTATAATAAAATTTTATATTATATAATAAAAAAGGTAAATAAATTTTAATTTGACATAGAGAGGTCATGAACAAGTATTAGGAGATTTAAGCATGACATTATGCGATCCATATGCAGTGAACTTTCTTGCTAGTAGTGCAATAAAAATATCTCTTCACTTAATTAATAGTGAAGCATTACCACGGGATAATGCTGTTCTTGTACTGTTATTAAGAATGCTTGCTCTAGGCTTATCTGCTTGGCAAATGATTGATTCACAAGAGTTTAAAGAACCAAAACTTGATAGTCAAGTTGTTACAAAATTTGTACCAGCATTAATGTCCCTTATGGTAAATATTATAGATATATTGATAAGTATATAATTTATTTTGATTTTGCATGCATTATAACTTTGTTTTCTATGTCATTTTTATTTGAAATATTATGTAGGTAGATGATCAAATCAGGCAATTGAACTGTAGACTACCACCTGATGAAAGGGAAAGTGCAATTGCTATTATAGAACATTCCGGCCCACCTCCTGATGCATGTCAAGCATATGCGCAATTATCTGGAGTGGCTGCAGTTTTATCAATGTATTACACATTACAAGTAGGTGGTGGAGGTAGTATAGGGAAAGGAAGAGGAGATGCAAGAGGCTTAATGAGAGTATTAGCTACTTTAACAAATTGTCAAGCACAACGTGCATTTGAAGATCCTTTTTTACACACTCTGGTATGTAAAAGAATCACTTGATTTATATAAGAAATTATATGAATGAATCATGTGATTGTATTTATTATTTCTTTTTAGGTTTCACTATTAATACTAAACATGGCTGATGAGTTTTCTAATGAATCATTTTGTACTGTGATATTTGATGAATTCTTTTTGGCAGGTTTAAGCAGAGATAATGTTACGCGTCATTTGTTAAAATTACTTTGGTATATTCATCCAAAATTACCGCCCGCAAGATTACATTCCTTATTAAAAGCTTTACAACCAACTAGTCAGGTATTATTCTCAGTGAATTTTAAATGTATCTTACAAGAAGAATATATGTATATATAATTTTTATAATATCATAATCGTTTCAGCATAGTGAGACTATAGCTTTATATGAATCCTTAAGAGATAAAATAGGCAATCGATCCACGCAAGAAGCATTACCATCATCATCTCAAATAGATACCTTAGGATTAGATTGTCCTTCTTCACCAATTACAGGAGTTCCTACTACATTAACCAATTCACTTTAAATTTTAAAGTTTATGAAATATTGATTAATTAACACTTTTATATGAAAAATAGAATGATTGTCTTTTATATACATTTGATCATGAAACATCGCATTACTTGTATTTCTTATCAATTGATAATAATATACAATCTAAGCATTTTATTAAAATGATGAAGACTAACTACATATATGTGTAGCTTTATTATTTAATTTATAGTCGATATGAAGTCTTCATTATATCTAATCTTTCGTACAACTTATTTATTTGAAAAGATTAATTCATTTACCTTATAACCCCCCTCTCCTATATTTATTTAATTTTAAATATTTCTGAATTATTTGTTAATTCGATTATAAATCTATCTAAATAATATGAATCTAATTTATACGACATTAGTATCATTGAAATATTCATCGATGCTTGTTTCGTTGCTAATAAAGCTTTCAATGGTGGATTTATTATACTTAACCTGAAAATAATTTTCTAATTTAAATTATGTATTGTTTAAATATATATATTACTTCTTAAAATCAATTGGATCTATTATTAGACAAAAGTACTTACATTTTAATAATTATTAGTCCTACAAGAGTCCATTCAGCAGTTTTAAAAACTATGTTTGTAGAAGATAATGAAAAAGTATTTACTAAACCTTTTACAGAGATACAATGGCTACTATCATAAATATATTCCATTACTGAATTACATTTGGTACTTCCAGCTAACATATTCAACAAATCTGGTAATCTGTAATAAAAGCAATAAAGTATAAAAGTTAAAATCAATTTAAAATATGAAACAATTTCAAAAGATGAATAAAGTTAAAATTACATTTTATGAAGTTTGTCCAAAAAGATCTTACGACGTAGTGCTTTAGGTGCAACTGAATCTACTATAGGTAATAGATAAGACGGTTCACTTGGTTCTTTATTTTCTATAATTTTCTCAGGAGGATCTATTATCGTACGTCCATTGTAAAACGCATGTACCTTCGAATAAATATATACTTATATATTTTATCTATATATAGACGAATATACACATCAAATGATTGTTATTTTAAAAATACGACATACCTTTAGATTCATTTTTTCTGCTTCTTTTTCTAATGTAGAAAAATCAGGTAATGGTTTTAATGTATTACTAGATAAATCTATACGATTTTCCTTCTTATCTATTAGTTCTAATTTATTTAATTTTGTACATAACTGTAAATACTTTTCTTGTTGGGTAAAATGTTTCATTAATTCAGACCTTGTACCTAGATTTCCTTGTAGAAAGGAAATAGTATTTTCTGTAATCCATTCTTTAACATTCTTCTCAACATGCATTGTTAACGTATAAAATTTAGTCGACAACTGTTGTAAGTTGTTAGATTTTTTTTTTTTCTTTACATTATTATCGTTCATTTTTTGTAAATTTTCATATTTATCTTTTTCATTTTTAATAGGATATTTTTTGTTGTCTTCTAAGATATTTTCACTTTTTGTTACAATTTCATTAGTTTTCATATCTTCTTTATACTCCCTTTCGACTATTTGTATACTAGACATACTTGCTACTATTTTGTCATGTTCCTCATTATCTGAAAATATCTTAAGATTTTCTCCCAAAATAGGTATTTCATAGCATTTTTGAACAATTTCAGTCTGTTCATTGAAGTTTTCATTACAGCAGTTATTATTTTTAAATAAATTAGGTGCTTTTTTATTTGTCATTGTATTTTGATGATTTTCCAAATTTATATTTTTTATATTATTAGGCACATTAGAATCCTCTGTTCGTATACATTTAGATACACAGTGTTTTGACGATGTATTTTCCAGAACTGTACATTCACTTGATTTAATACATGATACTTTGTCATTACTTTCTGGTAATTGATTGCAAGCACTTGTTACTGTATCTAACATTTTTTTTTCTTCACTTTTGTCAGTAAATTCTATATGTTCATTATCATTTTTTTTTGGAATATCTGAATCGCTTATGAGAACTTCATCTCCAAGCATATCTGTTTTTGAGGATAATAAATGAAACACTGGTATTTTTTCTTTGTCTCTAAACCAAAGAGGACTCGTGAGCATTTGTTGGAGAAGATAATTACATGCTGCATAACAATGTGAACTACAAAAATTCTTTCTCTTTGTAACATCATAAACTTTGTTCCTTTTTGTAGATATATGAAATTGTTGAGTAATTATTACCGTTATAGGATTTTTACAAAGAACGTAACCACATAGTTTCTCTATTGCTCTTTCTTCAATTACATCTTCCATATGACTTCTGTTGATATGTTGCAACTAAGGTATAAGAATAAAATATATAAAAATATTTAAATAAAAATATTATACAAATTAATATAAATACTTACATTTTGAAGGAGCCATTGTGGTTCAACAATGGGTTCTAGAAGTTGTTCAATAATCTTTAAGGCTATAACTTCCAACTGTTTCTTTTTAATAATTACTAACTTCACTTGTGCTTTACTTAACAAAAAATCAAATATTTTATTATATTATTATATAATTAAAATATAATACAATTTAAAAATGAAATTATATACACACCATATTGAAATAAAAAATACTTTTCTATTAGGAGATATAATTAACATATCATTAATATAATAAACATACCTTAACTTCTTCCATTTCTTAACTGGCATTTTTATATGCTATTTTTGGGTATTTGAAATTGATGAAGAATAATTAAAATATTCTGCAGTAGAACACAAAAACTAGATACTTTATTATCTATATATATTCTATATATACTCAATATATTGAATTTATCGATTATTAACGTAACATCAAATTCAGCAATTAACCATTATCAGAGTGAAGTATATCAAATTTCACGTTGTTGTTTTATCCGTGAACACTTCTTTTATCATTTGCAATTAGTAAGTTACAAACGTCCGATACAGTAAAAACTAATGTCTAATGAAAGATGACAAATACGATAAGTGTTTATATCAATTTTCCTAGCTAACCTTATAATAGAAACGTTGTAAAAAACACGTGCTACTTTAGCGACAGACGTGGACAAAATATGAATTAAAAGTGTAATAGAGGAGCAGCGTACTATCACACACCTATAGTAACCGTAGGAACGCTAGCAAAAAACCTTAAAAGCAGAAAAAAATGAATAAGTACTCTTTATTGCTCATTAAAATCTCAATCAAAACCCATAATTGCTCAATTTAATAATTGATTATTTAATTAGCTATTAATAATTGAAAAATCTAAAATTTTTTTCCTATTTTTAAGCAAAGCAACGAAGTTTGCCACAGCAGAAAAAATGAATAAGTGCTCTTAATTGTTCAATATTTGCTCAATCAAAATCCATAATTGCTTACTTTCTAATAATTAATTATTTAATTAGTTATTATTAATTAAAAAAAACAAAAACGTTTCTTTTCATTTCTAAGCAAAGCAATGAAGTTTTCTATTGTTTTTTGTTTTCAAACAATTGCTGACTTTTTGTTTGCCCGACTCCTCAACTTTATTTTATCAAATATTTTTTATTTATCGTTGATTAGTTGAAAATAATTATTACACTTTGAATAATTATGAAATGGCAACGTCATGAGTGGGAGATATGTTATACGCATGCGCAACCACAAATTCAAGGCGCAAGCGTACTTTGAAAAAAATGAAAGTAAAGTTGATATACCTGCAGGGATATAATTAAAGTTGATTTCCAAAGTAACAACAACTGAGGACGATCGAGATATAGTCCGGTCAATTTAGACATTTGAAGTTACAAAAATTGCCGGAAAGC